TCTTTCTAATCTTATTATAAATCAAGTGAATAGGATTCCAGATTTTGCTTTAGACCTAATTAAAGATGGTTATTGTCCTAACAGTAATTAACATAATTACTATGGTGGTGCACGCACGATATGATGATGTGACCAAGACCCTCTAATTACTCATGCTACAACTAAAAGTGGTTGTAAAATCAAATTATTAGACCCCATGCTTTTCCACTATTCCCAGGCGGCCAAAAACCTTGATCAAAGTAAAAGAGGAGCTTCTTTATCTTGTCACGTATCTTAAACCATTAATTTAGGTCCAGTTTCCACTCCAATGAAATTTTGTGATCATTACTTGTACTGTGAAAAAAGAAATTATTATTATCATTGCTCCTGTTCTTGGACACATTCCATAAATCCCGCGATAAAATGAGAAAAGAAGAAAATTATCAAGTTGACATCATACCTTGGTCATCCTCCAACATATCATCACGTGTGCAAGGCAGCCCTGAAACCTCATAATCCTTGCTGCCCCCACAGGAAGCACTTTTAAGGCACATTTGATCAGAGAAAGATTTTGGAGCACCAAAACACCAAGCAAGCAGCCACAAAACTCACTAGTCACTAGTGAATAAAGCTCCAGGATAAGGACATATGAGTTTTCTCCACCCCATTCTCTTTCTTTTTTTTCTTTTTTTTTCTTTTTCCTTCTAAGTCGGATTAGACCAGACGAATGCATTACGGCACTCATTGAATTTGAGAAGTCAGGAATTTCTGACGTTTTGATGCTGGCAAGGGGATTTGATCTTCTAACCAGCAGCACCCCAAGAGATACTTAAAGGCCTTCCTAGTGACCATTCTCTACTTTGTTCTGCTGCTAGTAATTATGTGATTATCCTCCAAAGGCTAAGAGCTCATTCTAGTCTACAAACACAAGAAATAATTTAAGGTGTCTGTTAATGCAAATTCAGCACCTATATATATATATCATTTACAATCAATCCGCATGCGTTTGGGGATGCTGATTCAAATTATTGGAGCATTACAATGTTATAGTCTTCTAATAACAAAAAATCTTGCACTATGACAAAGATACATGCATACAAATGTTGTGTTATTTGAATAATAAAGTCAATGAATTGGAAAATAAATTCTGGGCCATTCAAAACTTGAATTAAGACGTATGCTTGACCAATAATTTTTTTTAAAAAAAAAAATTGAAATAGAATCCACCACAAAAAAGTTGTATTGAAAAATCTTTGACTCCTCAAAAGGGAGGTCATATTCATGGGCATTTTGAACCCATTGACTTAGTGGAGATGGAGACCTTATAAGCAAAGGTGGGAAGAGCCTTTTTGTACAAATACACTTGGCCAAAAAGGCCTTGAAAATGATTGTGAGCCGCCCTCACAAATGAATAATTACCCTAACACCGTGTTGATTGATTATAAAAAATTTTCTTGTACCCTTGTCTCCCCGACCCATTACTTGAAACAACTAACAACCCAATGAACACACCTTTTCGCACACAACCTCGTGTGACCACAATGCCCTCATGGACAAGAAAAGAATAAAGATATACTAATTGGAATTTTGATGACAATAATATGATTTAATCTGCAAATTTAACAGCAGCCATCAAGTTACAATGGGAGGTGGGATAGTTCAAGCGGGCAAAAGTAATTCTTGACCTAGATTCAGTATCACCCTTGTAACTGAATTAATGTTGGCAAACTTGGATTCCATCACCAATCTAGAACTTGTCCAGGGTCTAATTGGGTTATTGTCAGAACTGAATGCTTTATTGTCAGAACTGAATGCTTGACTAAGTGTTCAAACTTGGTTAGGAGCAACAAATTCGATCGTTGAATCAACTTGACTTCGTTGTATATTCCTCGCAAATTTTCAACTTTCAATGGTCGAATATTTAACCTCATTGATCCAATCAACGGCTGAGTCGAACTTACAGAATTTAAACTTTTCTCCTTTATTTTCCTTTCAAGATAGTATTGCAACAACCATTAGACGAAAATTGTCACTCTCTTTTTCTTAGGACGGTCGATCAGATTCACGATGTTAGGCATATATTTATCTCATAAAAATATTGAGATTTCTGACTTATTTCGAATCGAGTCCAAACTCATAGTTAGCTAAACTCTATATTTTGGTTCAAAATCTGTCGATTCTAAAAACATACGAACTCAGTCCTAATTTCTTTCTTTGAACTTAGATGGAATCAATCCAACCTCGTTGACAATTCTGTTTCTGTTAAAGGTGAGGAACTCTTTTTTTTTTTTTTGCGTGAATTCTAAAATTAGTTCAAAGTGTTGAAGTGTGCCAAAATATCCCGTTGGATGAGGTCCCAAACTCACCACAAACACAATTCGGACGGGGTCCCAAATCCCACTTTGCAAACCCAATATATCTTCTTGCTCAAACAAGAATTGAATGGCAGTATAGGCATTTTGCAAGATTTTAGCACCATAAGAAGGCAGCCAAAAATAGATGGGGACAATGGGGGAAGCTATGATGGATGAGGAGAACATATTGCGGGGGTTAGGAGTGAGGGTGAGACTTGAGAGAGTGGGCACTCCACAATTTTTACTTAGTGGAATCACCGCACGCTCGAGACAAACACACCAATATCTACACCAACACTACTGCTACCAATAAAAACACTATTTTCTCTCTTTCTTTCCTTTGTCCTAATTTGGCCAGCCTCCTCCCCCTTGAGGCTGGGCGGACCCCGCAGATCCCCCCACCTCAAAAAATTGCCTCCTTGCCGGCTGCCGTCTGTGGCCTTGAAATGCATTAGCACGCCTATTTCTTCAATTCTACTAAAAGAATCCCCTTTCATTCCACGTATGCATGTCTTTTACTACCTGCTAAAGTTATTAGGCAATGGGGCTTTGTAATGCTTGCATATATCCAAGGCTTTGGTGCTACTAGTTTAATTCCATAAATGTGGTGGTGTAGATAAGGTGACATTGTGTAGATTGTTGTTATCATCACTACCTTCACAAGTTTGAGACCCAAATTTGAGGAACAAATTAAGGATGGGATGAGGGAAGACTTAATCAAGGCCTTGATGGAATACCTTACAAATGTTTATTGCTTTGTGTGGCATATATGTTGATGTCCCTATCTCTATTTCAACTTTCAATTAACTTAATATTATTCCGTAAGGACAGCCAAATTGACATCTAATTTCTTTTGCTGTGAGTGTTTATATATTTCCTTTTTCTTAGAACAGTCGTTGAGAGATCCAGAGTAATGTTTTTAAATTCGGACGGATGAGCGAACCGAATGAATTTCTGATTCACGGTCTATCCATCTGAGGGTGATGAGTGAACCGATTCACTAATTAGGTTTTTAGTGGTTTTGATCGGTTCAACCGATTCTTAATCAAGTTTGATTGGTTAAATTAACTTTCGATATCTAATAGAGAATCGAATCGATGTGGCGACCGATTTGCAGTTCAACCGGTCGAACCAGCCGTCTATGCCCAGTTTCTTTCCAAAATACTGACCCAAAAGCACATACTGTAATTGCAACACATACTACAATGAATCAACACATCTTAGACCGATTCATGCAAATCAACATTGTATAAAAGCATTATCATCTACACTTATATTGGTTGTCAGTGATCAAAATTTAAAGTGAAGCCAAATATTATTTATATCATGTCCGTGGGATATCTTACTCTAATGTAAAAAAAAAAAAAAATAGAATATTCATGCTGAGACACTCTTTAATTAGATGTGAATACTTCATAAGTTTGACTAACCATAATAAAGAAGAGTAGTGAGTCAAGTGCAATTTCAGCATTTGCTTTGTATCAATCCAAATGTATGCACCACCAATCTTAGATATCCCTTTTCCTTCCAAACATGAAACAATTAGAAAAGCCCTATCTGTTTAGGATTGTCGATCTTATACGATAGTTTGATCTTGGGTCCATGTCCATGGTACGTTATGTCATGGACGTGCGGCTCTTTTAGTCCGCGTGTACAAAAGCGGGGCCCTATAAAGCCATGCGCTCCACCCAAAAAAAAAAAAAAAAAAAAAAAAAAACACACACACACAAGAAGAATGGAAAAATTATAATAGAAGAGTACTTCCTTCTTCCCCTAAATAATTTGGACATAAAATAATGCGCATGCTATCCCAATATGCTTCGTCACGCACCCACTTCTTAGTACTCCCCCTTCCATCCGATTATCATCACCCCACAAAATCAAACTCAATTAACTCACATGGCAACACTTGTGCGTCCGGGGTCAACCCTCCTCTTTTTTTTTTTTTTTTTTTGAATAGTTTTTTTTTTAAAAAATATTTTTATCTTAATATAGAAGGGATTGCAAGACTCGTTAAGCTCTATTCATATAATGTTTTTCCGTTTTCAGATGATCTAAGATGTCTTGGGTTCAAGTCTCACGAGTTTGTCTCGAGCCAAGTCTCACGAGTTCTGAGCATTTATTTAATATCTCACGGTTCGGTTCAGTTTAATTATGTGTATCTCTACATACAATTCAAGAAATTTATATCCGTAAGAAGTGAAGACGAACGTAAAATCGATTTTCATTTGGACGTGACAGTCCAAACAGTGAACTCGAGACATGACCCAAAAAAAAAAAAAAATACATACACACACAAAAACAAGAAATACAAAATTCAAGATTGATGTTGATGGTACTTTTGGCCATGCTAATAATGCAATTCACAAAAGTTTCAACCGTGATGGTGTAAATCGTACCAATGCATTATTCGGTCTCATGCATTCACGAATTTTAAGTGTCTGCGCCACCTGGTTAGGTCTGTCGTCAAATTGGCCCGTGCCAACGCTTCATAATTGTGTATTCGTTTTTTCAGGCAATAAACAAATAATTATACATTGTGTAAGGGATTTTTTTTTTTTTTTGGCTGCGGAAAATCCGTGAGTGTGTATATAGAAATAATTATGGTTGGCATGGGCATGGGAGCCTAAAATCTTTCTTACTTGGATGCTATAAAAAGGTGTAGCATTTGGCACATTCAATATCCTCACAACTCATTTCCACTGGCTAATTGAGGGCAAGGCAGAGAGGCTTACCAAATTTTGTGATCTCTCTTTGTTTTCGTCTGTTAGTTAAAGTTCTCTCACAGTTTTTCCTCTGTTCTTCTTCACTTCTTGACTTCTTACCAGTGAACAAAAACTCATCCCAGAAAACAACAGAAGTGATCATGGGTGAAGCCGTTGAGTTTTTCGATTGCAATTGTTTCTCCAAAGTTCATTGTGAAGCTCAACCCGATCAACACCTTGTGATGACAATGGAGGGCAATCATCACCAGAATGATGGCACCTGGTTTGAAGAAGAAATTGATGATGACTTGAGATGGTCTTTTGCTTTGAACAGGTTCAGTTTAATTTGAACTCGAACCATGCACAAATTCTCTGTCATCAATGTCTATGCTTCTTTTTTTTTCTTTTGGTTTCTCTAAGCTTTTCTCTGTTGTCTTTCATTTCTTTCTTTGTGAAGAACGGAAAATTCCTAAGACGTTTTTTTCTTTATTTTCGTCGGAGTTCATTTGATTCACAAAGAAAAAATCAGGGTAGCTTCAATGGCCACAGGGACTAGGTCGTTTACAAAAGTTTCTTATCAAACACAGTGGTGTTTTGGTGATGTGAATTGTCGATCCTTTTAATTACGATACTTTCTGCACTCTGTACTGCTTCTTATAGTCTGCATCAATAGATCTCATGCATTAAACTTCATGTTATTTTGGTGCTTGGATAAATCGCATGCATTAACCCAAAAAAAAAAAAAGTTGTTCATCACCTGAAAAAATGTTTCTCTATTTGCGTGGATAGATCTTCTAAAAGAGGCTTACAAGTCAATTCCCCCCCCCCCCACCTCACCCCACCCCACCCCACCCCACACACACACACAAAAGTGGACCAAACTCCAAAGTCTTAACTAATCCCATATGTTTGTTGATCCTTTTTTTTTTTTTCAATATCAAATTGAAAATGTCTGATATTATTAGAACCTTTCACTCTCTTTCTGCAGTGTTCTGCACAAGGGAACTAGCGAATACCAGGACATTGCTCTTCTGGACACCAAGAAATTTGGCAAAGTACTTGAGATTTCTCTTAATGCTTTCAACAGAGATATATATATATATATATGTCTATAAAATTCATAGTTTCACTCATCTTTTGTGCTGAATATGTTATGTATACAGGTATTGGTGATTGATGGGAAGATGCAGAGTGCAGAAGTGGATGAATTCATATATCACGAATGTTTGATTCATCCAGCTCTCTTATGTCACCCAAAGTAATCTACTATTAAACCCTATAATTTCTTTTCTTAATCACATCACGCATGCATGCCAAATCTTTTCCACGTCCCCTATAACCCCTATTGCTATCTAACCCCTCTGACTTTGACTCTCTTATCATTAAAAATTCTTGCAACTGCCCCCCCAACCAATCCCCACACAAAAAAAAAAACTTTCCCTCGAGATATACACGATGAAGAAAACCTAATAAAAGTAATTACTAAAGGGTATCCATTTGAGTTGCAGAAGGGTTTTGCATGTCAAAGATAGATAATTTTTTTTCCTCGAAACGATATTCGACTATATTGCTTTCAAAAGATATACAATTGCGAGCAAAGGCTCGAGTTAACTTTAATTATCAAAGATAGATAATTAGATGGTTCAAAAAAGTCATGAATTCTACTGACAATTGAAGCAGTAAAAAGAATTATCAACTCAGAAAAGAAAACGTAGTTGTGGGTATAGACAATTAGATTAGACATGCACATAAAGAAAGATCATATAAGATTTTATCCATCCATATATGATAAAAAGTTGGTAATGAAATTGAGTTGTTGGTTCATACGCAGCCCAAAGACTGTGTTCATAATGGGGGGTGGTGAAGGGTCCGCAGCAAGGGAAGCACTGAGGCACAAATCCATTGATAAAGTGGTGATGTGTGACATTGATCAGGTAAAATACGTACGTGTCTATGTTCAAAGTTTACTGCTATTGATGATAATCTCTTAGTATGTGATTGGGCTGTTTATGTTTGACTCTGGATTTTACATGTTTTTAAGCAGGAAATTAGCATGTATTATTGTAAATAGTTGTGACCACTATCTTGTCATAATTAGCTGGAATACAACAAAAACCACAAAACATGGCATGTCTCTCTTTTTTTTTTTTTTGGTAGATTTTAGTAAGTAATAATAGCACCAAGAAGAAACGAGCTGGCTAATCCCTAATCAGAACCTGGACAAATTCATCATCTGTGTCATTTTATGTGGATGGGGTCCATCTATCCACTAAGAGCACTAAGACCACTATTTTGGTTTTGTCCATCTCCTCTGCCAGTTGAAAATTCATAGAAGCATCCTCTGTTGTCGTCAAGAAGAAATTAGCAAATCCAAGTATACACTACTATACACACACAGTCACATACTAGGTTTAATGCGTAGGTGAGGGAAGAAATAGAAACTGAAAGGGAACAAAAAGAAACTAGCAAACAAGAGAAGCATCCATCTCTCTCTCTCTCTCTCTCTAAATAATTATATGTAACTTGCTCCTCTTTGGTAGCAGAGAATACTACTAATTTTGAGGGGGTCTTTTGCAGGAGGTTGTTGATTTCTGCAGAAGGTATCTGACTGCAAATCATGATGCATTTCATAACAACAAGCTTCATTTAGTCATCAATGATGCCAAGTAAGGCTTCTTGTGAATATACTTATATAGTATATATAGATATTCTGAACCGAGTTATATAATATTGCACGGATGAGTGATATTAAAATGGGATCACTCAAAAATCATCAAGTTTGTCAAATGCACAAATAATACAATTATCTCATGTAATTATATGAACATATAGTTGAGGCCTAAAAACAAATTAAGGGAAATTTTTTAAAAAAAAAAAATACAATTTTGTAATTTTAAGAATTAACTTTTCTTGCCTTGATGGGACCCTTTTCACCTAATCATCAACCTGTCACTCCACTATCATGGTAAACTTTACTTGTATAAATACAAAATTAACCAGTTTCCTTCTACACGGAATTCTCAGTGCCACTTTTCCAGTGGTAATTCAGTGCCACTTCTATATTTATGCCAAGTGTCCTATTTATTTAATTTGTCATGTGTTGTTTATTTAAATTTCTTCTACTATCACGTGATAAATGGGATTGACACTGAATTTGGCACCGAGTAGTGGCATAGAGGATCCCAACTGGTTTCCTTCAACCTTAATAAGTACTATTTGATGTAATAAAAGTTTGGTAAACATCATGGTTTGCAGTTGGTGGGTCTTGCTGGGCCAAAGGGCAATGTTGGTTTTTGGGCCTTCCAGCCTGCTGTCTTTCTTCTCAAGGATAAATAATTTTAGCCCATATTCTTGCACAAGCAAAAAAAATAATAATAATTAACCCATGCATGGAATTTGTCAAATGAAGCAAACTAAATTATGATAATTTTTGATGTCTTGAAAGAGCTGAATTGGAGGAGAGGAAGGAAAAGTTTGATATCATAGTGGGGGATTTGGCTGATCCAGTTGAAGGTGGCCCCTGCTATCAACTGTATACCAAATCTTTCTATGAAAACATCCTCAAGCCTAAGCTCAGTGACAATGGCATCTTTGTTACTCAGGTAATTAGTCTTGAATTTAGCTTAAATATTTATTTTTAGGCAAGCTTAAATGTTTATTAAGCAAAAAATTTACCACATTTTCCTTTTAACCATCGTTAATCATTCAATTAAACCCTTTGCTCCCTCCATAGGCTGGTCCAGCTGGTGTGTTCACTCACAAGGAGGTCTTCTCATCAATTTACAACACCATTAAACAAGTGTTCAAGTGTAAGCCTGCCTCCTTAATAATTCAAGATTTGGGTCTAATTACCACTTGATTTTCTTAATTATGGTGACAACTAAGCTCAATAATAATAATTTTTATGCAGATGTTCTTGCCTACACAGCTCATGTACCGTCTTTTGCTGATACTTGGGGATGGGTCATTGTCAGTATCTAAACTTTGATTGTCTCTATATATTAGTCTAATTACAACATCATTAGTTGCAGACTTGCTGGTGGTATATCATAATTATATTGATTCTGCAGGCCTCAGACCAACCATTTTGTCTTGATGCTGGGAAGATAGACAAGAAGATGGCAGAAAGAATTGAAGGAGAATTGCTCTACTTGAGTGGTGCCTCCTTTTTCTCCTCCACCATCTTGAACAAAACTGTTGCCAAAACGTAAGTCCGACCAACTAATCAAAGAACAAATGAATTTCCAGAGTTCTTTTTCCCAAACATTTCTTTTCATTTAGTACATGAAATCTTTTTCTTTTTTTTTTTCTTGGGGGGTGTTTCAGATTGAAGAATGAGACTCATGTGTATACTGAAGAAGATGCAAGGTTCATTCATGGTCATGGGGTAGCATACCGAAATTGATGCGGCAGGCCTTTTGGTGGGGGGAAAACTGCTGTACAGTCAAAAGGCAGGATCAAGAAGATGGAATAGTAGTTGAAAGTTCTCCAGTGAACAAAGGAGGGAAAGAGGAAAAAAAAAAAAAAGAAGAGAAATCTTAAACAATTGTTAGAAGCTCTTGGTATTAGATAGTATATATGCTAGGCTACTTGTGGTTGTTCTAGGGCTCTGATCTACATTTGTTTCTTTAATATTATCTCATGTAATGCTGAAATATCAAGGGGCATTTCTCCATTAAGCTTTTCAGTTTCTTGCTTCCTTAGATCACAGGCCTATTTTCCAAGCAAAAATCTGTGCGACACTTTTTTTTCCTAAGAAGATTTATTAGAAGGCCAATCTATGTAAAAGGAAATGCATTGCTTTTTGTCACTGGGCCAATCAATTTTTGATTGTTTTTCCAAAAAGAAAAAAAAAATCTTGTCATAACAATGAGCGGGTTATCTCTTCGATTCTTGAAAACTGTACAATGATTCAATTCGGCTAGTTCACGACTTACAAAATGTTTGAACGAAGGCGTGATGTTAAGGCAGAGTCATGGTTTACGCCTTTCAGGTTGGGGTTACGTTGAAGCGCATTGAAGCGTGATTATGTTTCTCTCTGTGTTCGAGCCTTTTATAGAGCTGCCTGAATGAGGCGTGATGATTATGGATTGAAGGATCGTGGCTTTAAAGGTGCATAACAGGCGTGCTTTTATCATAATTCTGCATGTCAAGCAAAGTATTTGCTACCAAAATTTTAAGTCCCACATAGTACCAAAAACTCTGTTTCAATCAATCTATTTCAATCTAACTTCAAGAAAAAATGTATGAATAATGAGCCAACAACCATATAATACAAAGATATTCCCAAAATTCGAACCCAGAAGTTGGAATAATTGATGCTTTGCGTTTTGATTGTTTTATCAACATCAGATTACTTGAATATTGCACACAGGTGGTGCGTGATCATCAGACGAGTTCATGTGGAAGAAGTAAAATCAAGTAGCATATAACATCAATCGAAAAAAGGTAATTAGGACAGGAAGAAGAAGATAGATAAATCAAGAACCATGACTAGACAAGTATCCCATAACATACTTTTATCTAACTTCGCTTGACTGGATCGAAGTTGGCAACACCAATAACAGCCCCAAATAGGGCAGCAAGGACAACCCCTCCAGCTGCAATGCTGAGCAAGAAGTTCTTGAGAGATGGGGAGAGGTCAGAACCAGCTGCCTGAGCAACATCAGGAACCACCATGGAAGCTGTGAGTGCAGCTGCAGTTAGCCCAGTGATGGCCTTTTCCTTCAAAGAAGCTTCAATTTGAAGCTTGGCACTGGACTTTGATGGGTGAACGAATACAGCCTTTGATGGCCTCACTGGCAATGGCTTGAAGAAGGCATCAGAGGTTGGCGGCTGCAGCCTCTTCTGGCTTGCATTGGTCATGGGCATAGCCATTGAAACTGAGGCCATTTTTCTTGTTCTGTTCTTTCTTCTTTCTCTTTTGCAAGAATTGAAGGGAGTGGTATAAATTTTGAAGAAGTCATATTGTTTAGAAGGGTATTGAGTGGCTGGCTGGCTAGCTCGATAAAGACTTGGAGTCAGTGGAATGAGAGGTGGAAATTTGAGATTTTCTGCTTACCTGTCATAGCAGTGGCTACGTAGTAACTTGGCAACTCAGCTCTTTAGGATAGGGTTATCCATGAGGAATTTCTAAAGTTATTTTGGTCTACAAGAATTTCTTAAACAACATTACATCCACCACCACGAGGGCCACAATTGGTTTTCCTCTTCTTTGAGCTCATTATATACTCATTAGAAACTCATGACGAATGGTGCAAATGAGTTTAGTGATGTACCTATACCATACGTAGAGGAAAGATAAGAGTAGAATTTTAAACTTAGGTATATAACAAAAATCAAAGGACTGAAATGAATGAATTCATAATTAAGCTGACTTAATTAGGAAACATTAGAACCTCATCTAGCAAGATTAGCTGAATTTACCCCATAAACCTAAGAATTTCATTTCAAAATACCAATGCAAGGCGTGGGAACCATTGCCGATCTCAGTTACCGATCCACTTGATAACTGTCGACCCTCTAGATTTACTCTAATAAACTAATTAACTTCTTGAGATCATTTCAACCTTCAAGTCGTAACATAAATGCTACCTCGAAAGGAGGACTTGATTTGATTGATGTGACAAGCGTTACCAAACCAGAAGTTTAAAGTTTAAACCTATGCTTAATATCCCCAAGCTACCTTGGATTAGGGAGTCAAACAACAGCTCCTACCCCCTGCTCCTCTCTATCTTATCAGCATAAATACCTCTCATCTTGCTCTTCCAAAGATTACACAATCACTCTCCAAACTCATATACTTGCCCTTCTCAAAAATAGCACTAGCTTGAGCATTGAAGTGACACCAGGGGGAAAGCCCTGCTCCAAACTCTTGCTGTGTGGCAAGTACTGAATTGGAGTGCGCCTCAGCACTACACGCCGGCACCTGGGATCCTTGCTTGCACACAAGGTCCAGAAGAAAAGGTTTAACATATCTAAGCTTGCAGGGCCGCAAGCCTCAGAGAAGATTGATACGACAAGAAGCACTCGAATTACACCCTTGGGAAAAACTGGTGAGAACTGATGCACTGTACTTCGTAAGAATCACCCGAGTGAGAGTGACATTGACATTCGTATTGCTACAATTCCACTTTAAACAGCCCAAAACGATAATTAAGCAGTGGCCATTGCATTTCAAATTACTAAACTTATATGCTAATAAAACATAGAAATGTTAGCAGTTGCACTACTCTTTTAACTCTCTACGTCCTTTGATTTTTGAATAGCCAAAAGAGAGTCAAAGAGCTGTAGCCTTTGAGTATATGATTCGACTCGTATGCTAATCTCTCATGTTTTATCTTGAATCTCTGATGATGGTACTAGCTAGGCACTTTAGAAACAACGAATCAAATCTTTGAATGCTTTAGCCTGCATCAGCTGCCACCTCGTAGGAAGACTTCAGGGACTTAAAACTAGAAGCATTCTGAGTTAGGAACATGTATAACATGGAGTTTCCAATCGTGGTTCCACAAGAAGCTTTATATGAGATCATTCTACTACAATAGCAGGCTACTAACAATAGATTAGTTTCGGAATACAATTCTACTCCTCCCATTTAGTCACATAAATGTGCCAGTAGAAATGTCTTAAGAGTTTCAGGTAAGCCATTAATCCCTCAAAATTTAGTAACTCTTCCGACATTGCTTTTAGCTTAACTGAAGACCACTAACAGCAAGAAAGTAAGCTTCTCATTTCTTCAACCACAGGTATCTGCAACATAATGAAGAACATGAAAGTATAATCAGCCCCTAGCAGAAATGCATGAGAGTGAACTGCTGTTTACCCAGGAAGTGTCACCTATAAGTCATCCAGCATCTAGTAATGCTCCCTTCCAACAGGTCAGAGACAAACTGATTTTTGACAAAGATGATAAGTTCATCTGCTGCTCCCAGTTGTTACTGATTTTGATTCAACTAGGCGAACTTCTTGCGGAAGCAGGTCATATTTGATTTTTAGCTCCTCAAAAATTCTCTTAATCTCTAGAACCAATTCAGATCTCCGCCTGTTCTTCTCCCCATAGTCCTGAAAATTCATTGTATGGTTAAAAAAAATAGCCATCTTTATCTTGTTCACGTTCTCAATCTCCTTTACCACCACACTGTGATTAGGATGCCAATACGATGGATTTTTCTCCAAATACCTAAGCACGCAAGAAATAATAATAGGATTAGTGCACAAATAACAGCGGCAGACTACCCTAGATGCATGCACTCTAATTTCCAAACGTCCAATATAATGCCGGTTAGTAATAATCTCCAAAAACTTTAGCAGCTTCTACAAATACTTAAATTGCTGCTTTTGATCAGCATCTTTAAGCTTAAGCAGTACAAACTTGAACAGCTCAAAACAGCATTTAGCTTAAAACATACAATCAGCTCATTACAGGTGGTTCATAAACACCTTTGAGGCCCTTATTCATGCATTCCACCAATACAACTGATATGCCAGAAATAGAAGAAATATAAGCTTAGAAGGTGGTCAGATACAGACATAACCATGCTGGAGTAAACATGTAAAAACCCTAAAGGGTGCCATAAGAAAAGAACATGTTTATTGATGAGGAAAACCATAAGTTTCAGGGGACCAACTTGCATTCTTTTAATAAAACACGCTGGAAAAGGCATTTATATTTTTTGTGGTGCATTATTTAGGTACATGAGAGGGTGGAATAGCAGGGAAACCCCTCACTGCATCCTATACCTCCTTTAACAGCAGAAGGGCATTATACAAGTAGCATGTAGACGTGTATGCATGTAACTGAATTCATTTCATGCACTTTCAGGCAACATAATTTAAAACCTGATGATTGCCTGCTGGATGTGTTCTAGGAAGAGCTAAGTCAATATCTTCCCACAATTAACAGCAGATGAAGGATTTTATGCACTGTTAACAGTAAATGTCTAACTACTATATGACCATTTATGGTCACTGGTGTAATTGCTGTAAAGGATATGTCTAGAATTGCACAATGCAAAACTGCACTGTCAGCCACTTAATGAAAAGAAAATCAAAGAACTGAACTAAGGCTTCTGTGGGACATGTAGGATTGTGAATTCAAACATCACAGGCCCAAAAGCATCCAACCGCATCCAGTCATGTGATTTTCATGCCATAGGAGGGCTAACATTTTTAGTAAGCTAAGCATTATTCTCCTTTTGTCGCAGAAATGCACTTAGTAATTTACACTGCAATGCGTCCTCCCCAACATCTATTATAGATATCAAGATTTGGCACAAGGCAACAACATGAAATTGTTCTCTACTTCTCAATCTAACTGTGCATTTGACTGCAGCTTTGACATAAAGCATCATACAAGTTCAACAGGATAATGAAATGAAGGGAACTGTTCAGTAGAATCTAAAGTTTAAGAAGAGCTAGTTGTGGCTGCCCAGTTGCTAAGCAGAGCCAGAAGCAATACAATATTCCGAACTTTTCAAAATGAAGGAGCATATTGTTAAATAAATAATGAATTGACAAGTACTGCAAGTGAAGAAAAAAGCAATATCAAACTCACTTCTTTATTTTGTCTTTTAGAGTTCCTATCAATTCCAGTGGTGTCTTGAAATCAATAGAGAACTCAAGGGAATCACCCATGTCAGGGCTTCTATAAAAATTGCTGATTGGCTTGGAAGCCAAAACAGAATTTGGATAGTATATCTTTTCATTGTCGTAGCGGAGAAAGACAGTTGTTAAGATATTCATCTCCTCTACTACCATCTGTAAGAGTTTAAGGTAAGAAAAAACATTCATAAAGAGCTCATTACCAGAGAAAGCTAAACAGATCATCAAAGTTACCTGGACACCATCGACTACGCAGCGATCACCAACATCAAAAGGATGCATCACAAACACAAATATAATAGCTTCAAAAATAGTCTTGCAAGTATTCCCAAACATAAAAGCTACCAACACAAGCTGTGATGACAGAAAGACAAGCACTTTGGTCGTCGCTATTTCCATTAAAAGAAGCCATATGATTATTATTATGATAATTAAGATTGCCGTAACAAGCTTGCCCAACTGCTTCACAGCAGTTTTAGTGTCATTTAAAGCATGCGCCAAGGCTTTACGACCGTTATAAACTTTTACCTGTACAGCATGCAGAAAAAAGAGAAGTCAGAACATGTCTTTGTATGTGTGAGCACGAGTGAGGGCGGGGGAAGAAGGGATTTCCTCAACAATCATTACAATAGGAAAAAGTTTTACTACACAACTAGTATGACAGGTTCAAGTAGTTGGATGAATTAAGTTGCTTTCCATTGCCTTCTTTCGACCTTTTTCTGTTTAGACTATCAAATGAGATATGTTATGATACTGTTTATTAACTCAGACCATAAATTCCAGTGTGCTAAATAGGACAAATGCGAACATCAGTGGACAACAAGGAAAAGAGGCATTTGTGCTTCATATGGTTGCTGGAAAGACAGTAGGAAAAGAGTGGAGCATTTGAAATGACATTCAGATTGCATCCAGAGTTTAATCTCCATATGTAGAACTATCTATTCAACACTTAAAAAGTATTTTTCTTTAATCAACAAGTGTACCAACCAATCCAAGATTCATCATAAATCAGGAAAAAAAATGCATTTATTCCTGCAATGTTTGAGAAAGGTCCTACGTACCACCCAGTGTGTCAGAGCTTTCCTGTCAATCTGTCCAGTCTCAGCCACGTCGATCATTGGTAAGACAATATCCACCTCTTCTTTAATCATGAATCTCCTTAGATCCATCTCATCAATGTACCTTCATGGATTAACATTCCTAACAATTAGTTGCCAAGACAAAAAATTTTCAAAGTGAAAATCAATAGATAGAGGAATAGAAAGTAAAAGCTAGAAAAGAGCATTTCTCACCTGCAACCAGGCTGAGCTACATTTCTGAAAACGTGATAGGCTGCTGCAATTGCTTCCTCTTCATTAGTAATTTCCTTGTCGGATTGCTCATTTCCTCCATCATAAACACTTTCGCCAAGGGTACCAGAGAGGGTTGTTAGACCTGTATTAGATATGACATCCACTAACATTTTCATGGTCCAAGCTGTGACCTTTTCACGTTTCATCTGATGAAGCTTATTTATATCAATAACTGCTTTTTCCTTCTTTTCCTTTCCATCTTTCCCTGCCTTTGTTCTCCTGAAGCTAAATTGACTGACGGTACTATTTTTTCTGCCAAACATTTGAGCCGACTCCATAACTGGAGGCCCAGATAGTGTTAGCAAAATGTATTGATGGAAGACTGATTCTTGAATCCTATCAAAGAAAGCATTAACATGAAAAGAAGATGCCAAAATCTTTAGCAGCAGATTCTTCAAGAGCCACAAGAATGCCCCTATGAGGAAAGTTACCATTGTCCAAGTAATGTAATCCAAAATCTTTGTGGCAAGGCGAGATCGCTCAACGCCTCTCCTGAATAGCAGAACCCAAGTGAGAAGAACCAAACTCAACCACATACAGAACTGCACACTCTTCCGCAAAGCATACACAAAATACAATACCTTCTTTCTCAACAAAAAGGCCAGCTCAATCAACAGCACAGCAAAAAGAACAAGCCACTTTGTAAATAACATGCCACTAACAGTCACCATTACAAGAGCACACCATTTCCAAATCTCCAGCCCCCAAATTGTCCACTGTCGCAGCTTATGAACAGTCAAGCTAGCTACGAAACATCCCAAAATGCAGGCAAACACAAACCATTCAATCAAAACCTTGACTTTCACTCTGTGATATCTTAATTTGTTCCGGAGACTCACTTTCTTATAAATCTCCTCATCCTCATCTGCTCCTCCAAAACCACCAGGTGATGCCATCAACGGTGTCTTGGGGGTAATTGGTACATTCCTAATAGTCTCTTTTAATGTGTTGGCATTACTAGAACCCATTTTATCATTAGGTGAAGGCTGATTAGATAAATTTCTGTAAGGTGAACTGCAACTTGGTTCAGCATGCTCTTGAATTATAGAAATATCCTCATCAAACATGTTAGTATCAACAGGGACAGATTGTTCACCAAATCTTGATTTGGGTTTCGAGTAGACAGACCTGGCAATTGATTTTCTCCTAGTGAGGGTATCAGTTGTGGGAATTTTTGGAGGCTTATTGGCGCTTGGACTATACCCAGCAGCTTCAGGGGAAGAAAAACTTACAGGCACGGCCCTTTGAGCACCTGAAGGAGAATCAACTGATGCTCTCACCGGTGAAGCAGCTGGAGGTGGATTCTTAGGATCTTTTTCATCGCCAGAGATAAGCACAACCACTTCACCTGATGTTTTCTTGTTTTCTGCCATGCTGATTTCCCCACTCTGCTTAGAAGCTTTAGTATTGGCATCCATTTATTCCCCTACCAGATCAAACACGGAAATTACCAAATAGCTGAGACATTAATCATATGTTTGCCCTCCTTCATCAGCAGCATGTAAATCTCACTAGAATGTTTTCTGAAAAGCAACTGTTTTTATTCAAAATCGAGTCTTTACTTTTATCTTAAAAGAGCAGATTATTACTCCCCAAAAGAAAATGGAAGAGCCCACTTCGCACTTAATGCCAAAGGAATTAATCAAACGAAGCCCTGAAAAACAATAAAGTACTACTAGCAGACAGCATCAGAACGTATAAAAATTAAAACTTGTTTACCAACTAAACCGTCCCACATCATAAAACACAGAGAAAAAACCATTTCAGCTTGGGCACTTCAAAAAAGGCACAGTACAGCTAAGGAAAACGAAACATAATCACTAATGTCTTGAGTGATTCTCTCTTTCCTTTTGTTCTTACTGGTTTTTTGCACCCCTTTCATGGATAGTTAACGTAACATACCTGCAGGCGCCGATATATGCTTTACCAATGGAGATTTAGCAGGAGCTCATTGCCAGAAACAGAGATGCAGGTTGTTGTTCAAAGGGATTAGTATGAAGGGCATAAGGAGACTGAGGCTAGCTGAACAACAAAAAAGAAAGGAAAAGAAAAAGGAGTTCGGCAGAAAAAGAAGACTTGTGAGCTAACGAGTGATTAATGCAGTGCTTGCTTTAATATTCTTCTAGTTTAAACACGGTTTAGGGGTAGAGACTAGAGGGTAATGGATTTCTTGCTGGGGTTTTCTGAAAGGTTGGGGTTTTGAGCCGCACCGCATTCTACCTCTGGGACACAGAAGAGAGAGAGAGAGAGAGAATCCAGTTTCTTTTTTCGAGGGAAACTGGAAAAGCTGACATCTATAGTGACAGCAGGAAGAACATTTGAATCTGGGGAGGTTGGTGAACCAGGTACGACAACGTGGTCGAACATATTACCGTTGATCATGACACTGGACTGGTAGTAAAATAGTAATTAACTACAAAAGGCGACAGTAGCTTGATGACGAATTTGTAGTAGGAGCAGTAAATTTCTTTGACCGCATTAGCATGTTCACCCACAAGAAGGCTGCGCCAATATGCTTAGAAGGGAAGGGAAAGGAAAGGAAATGAAAATCCACAAGGTTAAACAAAAGCGGAGGTGCTAATTTCAAACCAAAAAGAGGGAAGAAAGAAAAACATATAAAGTCCCCATGTGTCTGGTAATGGGTGTACAAGGCATGGATGATTATCATCGGAGTTAATAATTGAAGGGAAAATTGCAGAAACCTCCCCTGAAACTACTGACAGTTGCACTGAGCTCCCCTCTAAGTTCTGAAATGGCAGATAGCACCCCTCAACAGGAACATTAAGTTGCAAAATCAGTCCAGGCAGCTTCAATTCCCATTAAAAAATTAGCTGTACAAGTGAGATAAAAAATTTGTTCCAAATTTGCCCTGATGTTGGTTGACAAGTAGTATTAACAAGGGAGGGGCTTTTTCATTAAGCACAAGGAAGTTCAGGGGGTATAAATGCAACAACATGCTTCCAGATGATGACCTGCAACAACTTCATTTGCTGAGAAACCAACGGCTACTTAACCTCGGGAAACCCTCGGGAAACCCAGGAAAAGCTTAACCTCAACGTACCAAGGTCTGGGGCTGAATCCGATCCAAAGGAGAAAGAGTAAGAATCTGAGAATTTTTCACTTTGCAGGAAGAAAAAGAAAGACTGAAATGCAGCCTTAATTACAACTACATTACGCAAGCTCCACCAATACCTATCGCGAAAGCGTATTCAGCGCCCATCTGGAGTGAATTGTTCTGATAGCGGAAAGGCTGAACTTTACTGAAAAAAAAAGCCCTTTCTCGAAGCCGTCTTTCAAGCATCACTAAAAAAGACTTTTTTTATACTCATCGCGGATGATTGATTCCGGCTTTTTCAGAAGACGAGAATGAGGAATAGAGGGAAACCCGCAAGCGGGTTTCAGGCTATTTAACAAATTACTTAAAAAAAAAAATTTTTTTTTACATGCAAGCTGCGTTGAGTTGCACATGCCCATCGGAGGGCCCTAGGATGCCCAGCAAAACCTCCCCTCTCATCCTCACCCTTCAGGTGAGGGTTTGAGAGTATGTGTTTGATATAAATAGAACAGAAACGCAGCTTTTAGTCATTTTACATAAAGGGGAAACCCGCAAGCGGGTTTCAGGCAGGCTATTTAACAGAATTTTATCTGCAAGGCACACTCTCTTATGCTGCAAGTAGGCAGCTTGTCACCTCAAGAGCAACTTGTAACAAATTGGCGCCAATTCATGGCGCCATCTTCCTCAGCAATTGCCGCCCTGTTCTTGCCTCTAAAACTAGTCTCACACTAAAGCATACCCTTAATCAAAGCTGGACGGAGACTGCAACTTGAGTTAGTTAGTTAGTTAGTTAATTAAGAAGTTAATTAACTAATTAGATAATTAGTTAAGCATCTAAAGTTAATTAGTTATTTATGTCAACAGATAATTAGTTAATTAATTAATTAGATTATTAGTTATTTAGTTATTTAGTTAAACTATGCATAAATAGTTAATTTAGTGTAAACTACAATTATCAAAATGACAAACGTTTTACTAGGTTTAAGTCATCACATTCTTTGGTAAAATTAAATTTTAGTGAGGGTATTTTAGTAAATTGACAATGAAGAATGTATTAAATTGTGTCAGTCTTTTTTTAGGGAGGTGATTGCTATTTTAAACTTCATAGGGGAGGTCAATGCTATTACCATAAAACTCAGGGGAGGTTTCTGCAATTATCCCATAATTGAAAGACAAATAATAAGTCCCCAATGTTCAGAAAAGATTCGAAACATTCCTTACGTTTCATTAAATGTATTCTTCGGTGCTTTACTTTGATTTCAATCTTTCCTTAGATTTCTGATTATTTCACTAACCTCCCTCTAACTTTTAAAAATTATACTTACCTTCCTTGAGATTTATTATTTTATAATATTTATGTCTAATCAATCATTAAAAAGTAATATTAGAAAAGAAAAAATAATATAATTCCACGCTCATCTATTAAATTGTTTAATTAAACAGATACACGGCCAAACATTAAAGGAAACACTACAATTTACTGTTTATCATTAGAAATTAAATCACATGTAGCATCAAAAATAGTATATCATTCTATATATTTTACTTAACGTAAGATTCAAATTACTCTTTTTAGTTACAAACTCATTATTAAACATGATCAACAACAAATAATCAAAAAATTCTGTAACCAAAATATTATAAAAAGCGAATATTAATGCCATGAAAAGCTCAGCAACTAACTTCAATATATTGACAAGAATATTTATGATGTTAAAGTTTGTTTTCTGTAGTATTTTGGTTGCCAATCTTTTGATTATTTGTTGTTGATCATGTTTGATTATGGGTATATAATTAAAAAGAGTAATTTGGATATTATATTAAGTAAAAAAATATAAAATGATATATTTTTTTTTGTTCTATATATGATTTTATCCCTAATGATAAACAACAAATTTTAGTATTCTTCTTTAATGTGTGGGTTGGTATTATATTAATTAAATAATATAGTATATGAAGGGTAATGATGAAATCATATTACTGTCTCTCTTTTAATATCATATTTTAATTATTGGTTGGTCTTAGTGTTACAAGATAATTAATCTCAAGGGAGATTAGCATAATTTTTGAAACCTAAAGGGAGGCCAGTCAAATAATCAGAAACCTCTGAAATTATCCCTTTAAAATAATAACTCTATGCCCCTCATAAATTTAAGTTAGCAAAATTTTATTTTGATCTAAATTTTTAATCAATTTTTAACCCGAAATCAACACATCATTCATATGCAAATCATTTTTTATACATGAAAAGGTCAAATCCCATGGTTTTACTGGCAAAAATAAATATAGATCGAGTCAAATCTTTACTTTTTTGTGGGAAAAATGAATATAGTTCGATTCAAATCTTCCTTTTTTTGAGATAAAAGTGAATATGAATCAGGTCACTTATTTTACTACAAATGAAATTTAACTTTTTTTTTCTCTAAAACAATGACCATATATATATGGGTCACGTGATGGATTCAGGATTAAAAATAATCGAAAATTTAGATTGGGATCAAATTTTACCGATCCGATTTTATAAGAGATATAAAGTTGTCATTTTAAAAATGAGGAATAAAAAATTTCATTTAACGAAATGTGGATGACGTTTTGAAAGATTTTTCCTTTGATAAACCATAATGTATGTCATTCAATGAAAATGCAACCGCTAAATCTTGTTTATTATCGTTCTTCACTTATAATTTGAGTTTCAACCCGTTTAATAAAATAAAATTCATTTTACATTTAAACTAAACATACACGGAAAAACGACTAAAGCTCATGCTCATAATAGGGTTTATCATTCCGATACCAATTTATATCAAATACGGAATAGAAAACTAAACACCTTCGTAGTAATTAGTAGCGCAACTATTTTCTTATTTATAGTGCAACATCCAACATGAATTAATTTGCTTACTCCACAGTGTTTTCTTGTTTAGAGCCTGGAGCTATTGTGCGGTGGTCCTGTAACCTGTAGACCAAATTCAGTGGACCCATGGTTATACACTTGTGGGTGTAAACTGTAAAGACTCCATGAAATGTTGGGTATGAATTAAATATTCACGTTCAAAATTTGCTTGCTCGTCTTGACTTCTACTTCCAATTTAGTAAAAGTTTAGTTGAAGTTTTGAGCTTAAATTAGGCAAATGGACGTCTTTTGTGACATTAAGACAACAGTTTTTCAGGTTTAAATTGCCGCCATCCACGCTAGCTGGAACTGTCCTTGTTTAAGAACAGCTGTCGAACCTGGCGGCCTTTCAAACGTATATAAGGAGCATTCTTGTTAGGAAATACCATAAAGATGTCTTTTTTTTTCACACTGTCAACCTATACACTAACAGAGTTGAATGTTTGTCGCAATATCGAATTTGAATATCATATTTTGTAGCTATCAGTGTAAAAAAGATTTATCCATAATAGAAACAAGTAATTTTGACGAGCATGTTACATTTTAAGGCATTTATAACAGGAATCTAATTCTATTTAAAGATTTACATATTTATATTTCATTGCATGACGTAAGCTTAAAACATCTTGCTCAAGGATTCAATAGTAAATAATATGATCTAATTCTATTTGAAGATTTACATATTTATATTTCATTGCATGACGCAAGCTTAAGCTATCTTGTTCAAGGATTCAATGGTAAATAAAAAGATTGCAACCCAAGCTCAGCTTATCTTGATGTCAAGTTTGTTTGGATTGCATTTTTCTGAATTTTTGTAAAAAAAAAAAAAAAATACTGTAGCGATTTGATATATGTGAAGGGTAAAAAGGTGATTGGAAAATGTATCCACGGAAAACGTAACAAAGAAAACTTGCAATCCAAACGCACTCTTAGCATTTAGGTTAAGTCAAACCTTTTTTTCTTTTTTATAAATATAAATATGAGAATTCAAATCTGAAACCCCTCATTTATACTTTATTTTTCCGAACCATCCAATCCATCAGGTCAAGTCAAATCCTACAATAAGCTTGGCCAGGGAAAAAAAAAATTTTGGGCCTTAATTTTGAGGTGATTGTGATTAGGGAAAATGATGAATTGGATGGTATAGAAAAAGAGAATATAAGTGAGAAATTTCGAAACCCCCTGTGTACACTAAAATAGAATCAACCACTTACACTAAAACGGAAAAGAAAAAGTTATTAAGGTCAAGGTAGCCCACGAAAGTCCTAATTGACCCAAGCGTCGAGGATTGATAAGAGAACATCATAATGCATAAAACAAATTCCACAAGTGACATATTAAACCGGCCAAATGTACGAGATTTTTTCTTAGCGATAATATTAGTTTATTCTTTGGTGGATGTCAAAGAGGTCCCTCTGGATTCATTATCATGGGAAAAACAAAACCAATACCAAAAGCAAAAAAAAAAAAAAAACTATTCGGCTACTCCATTTTAATTTTTGGACGTCTATAGGAATAATAGAACCAATAATTTAGGTACATAGAAATCTTTAGGTAACTGGGGTGATGAAAGTTTGGGGCTAGGAATCTTCAATCCTAGACAAAAGGCAGTAGATAAAAAACTCTAATGGAATCATGGATTTTGGAAGCTCAATGGGCCCATACAGATAGTGATTCAATGATGTCAAATCTTGGGCCTTGAAAAGAGATTGCACTGAACCAATCCTGCATGGTTTAAATCTGTTACTGCAACTGTTGTTGAGGCCTCTCAATTTGAATGGATCTCTTTTTAGATATAAGTTCTTACTTGGAAATGATTACTACTGTTGTATTGCATGTAGATGATTATATTTATTTGGTTCAAACTCTTGATAGTATAACAAGAAAGAGTATCTATACCAGTAGCTCCTAAGTAGGATAGGGTAGGAGTAGGAGTAGAGTAGACTAGGTTAATCGCTGTCGTCTGATAAAAAAAAATTAGCTATTGAGTATCTACTAATCTCTTTCTAATACTTCTGAGGATGTAAGTTATGGTTGCAAAGGAGGGTCTTATTGCTGCATCTTCATCCCAAGAATTTCGAATAAGTTCAAGAAGCTCTTTTAGTTTCTCAGCATCATGCTTTGGAAGCGCCGGTCTAAGTCCATTGTTTGCCACTTCCATGGCTATCTGTCAAGCAAAAAGAAGCAGGATGAGTAGTATTCTAATGCATTTTTCAAGAACATGCAAGAATTGAAAGGATACACTCATTGATTAGCATAGGAAATATTTGAAACTACAAGAAACTGTCTGGATGCTAATACAATTTGAATTTGGGAATTGAATTAGAAATTTTCAGTACACATAAGCTAAGGGTTTTCAACATACCCTTGAAGGGCCATAATCTGTTTCAATATATGGATGTTCACCCGTAATCAGCTCATTGAGTATCACACCATAACTATAAACATCACTCTTTTCATCATAAGGTCCACAACGGACTACCTCCGGAGCCATGTAAACATATGTACCTGAAAAATCAAAACTTCATTCAATAATAATAGTTATATCTAACCAAAACTACTGATTTTCATACACGTTTCACATTGCCCTAAGGTTAAATGTTATCAACTGATTCAGTGTATAGTGAAATCAATGCCTACTACACGTATTGAAAGAATGCTACTGCATGCTTGCCTGTTTCTCCAGTGAGTGCCTTTTCGCCATCATTCAAGAACCGAGCATGGCCAAAGTCTGCAATCCTTACGTGCATGTCATCATCAAGAAAAATGTTGCTAGGCTTCAAATCACGATGGATAACCTTTGCAGGCTTCTGCTCATGAAGATACTGCATTGCTTGAGCAATCTCTAGGGCCATTTGTAGCCTCTCTTCGAGGGGCGGAAGGGGAACCATTCTTTCTTTCCTTCTGCTGCCCGGACCGTGTAACCAAATTTTGAGAGTTGTACTCAAGAATTCAGTGACTATCCAACCATGGCTTGGGGGTTCAAGGCAAGCCCCCATCAGCTGAAGCACAAAGGGGTGGCGCTGCCTCGACAATGTCTCAACCTCTTGAACAAAGAAGCCAAGCATGTGCTCATTTGTTTCGAATAAATTGGGGAAGATACACTTCACTGCAACATCAAGTCCTCTCCATGTTCCCCTATATACATCTGCTGTCGTTCCCTGAGCTACTACTTCTTGTAGTTCAAGCTATTTTCAATGGACACTACTATTACTATCATGGCAAAGAAAAGAAAAGCAAAAATTTCCATGTTCTCTAACCTCATCGGGCTCAATGTACCATCCGAGCAATTTTGCTTGAGCAATGAGGGCAGCAAGACTGGTATGTGGATGGGGCTGCGCTGTGGACTGTGGTCCTCTGGGACTGCTAACAAGGCTGTTGATAGCATCAGGTGGGAGAAGGGATTGGGATTCTTGGGGTTTATCTTTGATATTGCCAGTAAATATGTCCAAGAAACCATTGTCTTGCGCTATTTGAAGGCAGTTCCTTAGGTAATCTCGTGTCCTCTCTAGCTGCATCTTGTACAATTTCCTTACTTCTCTTTGCTTTTGGAGTTCGGCTTCTATCGCTGCCAACTTACGAAATTTTTTTTTTTGGCAAATCAAAGAGAGTCAGAAATCAGAAGAAGAAGTAAGCTTTGGTGCACGTGTTTCAAGAAGTAGCAGGGGGAGGGGAAGAGGAGTCTACTGTGATTAAGGAACGATAGAATTCTTTGTCCCACATCGACAGAATATAGTGGTCATGGAGCAGACAGAAGTTATATAAGGAGTCCAACGCCAACCCAGGAAAATCACGCAGCTACGCGGTGAGCACAGAGCGAACTATTCTTTCGCCTTTTACTAAAGAATACCGTGTGCTCGCCGCAATTAGTGGCATACGCCAATTTTTGGAGAGGTGCCACCCGTTTTAGGGTGGCCCTCTACACTGCTTAGTACAAGAACTTATATGAAAGAAAGGGTAGTATTTATGCCTTTGGTTGGGCCTTACTTGCTTTGGGAGAAAAGGCAGCGGCATTATTTGACTTTGGGTCTCTTGCTGGGGGTTATTATTCGTGGGCTCACACGCAGCAATTCGTGAACTGTAATTTGCTATAGCGTTTGAGACTCGCAAGATAACCACAACCAACAGGCAATTGAACACCCATTTTTTATTGTATAAAAAAAAGCCTTTAAATCATTGTAGTGGTTTCTTTTTAAAATACTATATAAGAGATATATGGCGGTGTTTTAATAGATATTAGAACATGAAATGATCCATATGACAATTTAATAGATATTGAAATAAGAAATGGTACAATTTAATAGGTATAGAAATATAACGATTTAATAGATATTGAAACAAGAAATAGTATAGATATATGACAAATTTAATAGTACACAGATATACGGCAATTTAATAGATGTTGTTAGGGCGGAAAATGATTTAATAGATGCTGGGACAGGAAATGGTACAAGAAGAAGTGGGCTAGAAGATCCTTTGCGCTTTCTTTTTGTAAAAAAAAAAGTCGTTTTGACAATCAAAAAATCGTTCCAAAACACTTAGTAGAGCAACGTAACAACTTTATCACAAAACAACTTATCATCAGTTCTCTAAGCTGTTAAACCATTTACAGTTTTTCTCGATCGGTTGAAAATTTTCTTTTGCAAATTAGAACTTCAGAACAGGGTTGGATAAGTTCAAGGAAAACTATATGATGAATTCGAATTAAAATAGTAACAACATACCTGTTTCTCCAGCTGGATACTTGCAGGTGGAGGTTGTCGGTAAGAAGTGGCGGATCCCATAACCATGCAATCCCCGGCGCTTCTACAACAGCTGAAGCAACGAATGAACTTGGGCTCTCTGACCAGCTTGGGTGGTTGTGGGTGGACACTGTCGTTCATTACTGTGAACTGGTTTCGAGATCTTGCTTCCTCTCTTATGGATGGATCAAAACCACAACAGCTGGGAGCAAAGGATGAAGCTGCAGCCTTAGTTGTATCGATTCTTGGAGATCTTCAGATTTCACTTTTGTGCTTATAATGTACAGCAGTACTCATCTGTTTTCGGACTTTGTAATGAACTTTTTGTCTACTTATCAATCAGCCGATGCCCTTATTCGTTTGGATGCATTCGTTTAGTCTTTTACTCTTTTGTAGTTTTGTTTCCAAGCTACAACAAAAGAAAGATATATTTAAAACCTCTCAAAACATTTGCAGGGGGGAAAATTTAAAAAAAAATTCAAGATTATAGAATCCGAGGAAAAAGTACTACTACTTATAAATTCAAGATTAAATTTGTAAGATATAAATGAAATAATGGAAACTAGATGATTCTTTTAACATGTTCTTCAATATTTAATCAACTTTTTACCTCACTAATTAAACTATTTCCAACAAAGTGCTATAGTAATATTTGTTTCTTGAAACTCTCCCACAAAAATGCAATCCAAGTGGAGTTTTGCAAATACCAAATTAAAAGTCGATTATTATAACGTTCTAGTACAATGGAAATTTTCTTTTTGCAGGAAGGCCAAAAAAAAAAAAAAAGACCATCCATTGGACAAAACTCCACTTGTTTTTTCATTTAATCAGTTTAGGACAAAAGTATATTTACAGGAAGAAAAAGTGAGATTAAGTTTCTTTGTCCGGAAACAAACAAGTGGCGAATTTGTTGAAGATTTTACGTTAAAGTCTCCAGAAAGGGCATATACTCGGGAACAAAAAGGTTGGTGGAAACTTCAACAGTATGAACAATATATACTTGTATTGTATGTATCAATGTATATGCCAAAAACGCTGTATTTTTAAGTTATAACTCTGTCTATTTTTTCTCCGAAATTATGCATAAAATAAAGTCTGCAATCGGACTTTTCAATGACAAAAATGAAATATTTCTGATTTGCCCGCAAATCACTTTCAAAGAGATAAAAAAGAAATTTAAAAAAAAAACATAAAAAAAGTATTAACTTTGAGAATGTTCGATTTGATTTCCGAATGATTCAAGTTTTTCATGAACGAGTCGTGCTGATACCTTAATTAATTGAAAGTGTGCAATTCAATTTAAAAGTGGAATTTAATCTTCTTTTAATTCGATAATTAGTGTTTTGCATAGCAAGAAGTTACTGAAAAAAGTGGTTTTTTTTTTTAATATAAGCAATAGTTTGATTGCCACGTTTCTTTTTCCATCTTACAAATCAAGGTAAATCGTTTATATCTTCATTGTTGATCTCCATAAGCTAGTTTCCCTATGTTGCCTAAATTATCAATCAGTAGGAAACAAAAACCAAATTTTGATTGAAAGTAACTAAGCAAGATTTGTTGACAGGATATTGATATCTGGAGATTTTGGGGTTCGGTTCATGCATCAAGATTGGAGCAAAAAGTAGGAACGGTTGATTTTTCCAAAGCCACAATTTTTGACTTTTGTGGCATAATCTTCATCCCACATCGATGAAGTTAGAAGTTGAGGGGAACATAACTCTCAAGCCATCCTTCCAAAGCCACCGATATGTCAGTGGGATTTGCTTTGGAAGCCTTCCCTCAACTTTTAACATCGGTGGGAGGATGGCTCAACTTCTAACATGTTTTGGAAGGATGGCTTTTGGCATTTTTTCTATCTCATATGGGTGGGATTTGTTTTGGAAGCCTTCCCTCAACTTCTAACTTCACCGATGTGGGGTGAATATTATGCCACAAAAGTCAAAAATTGTGAAAGAAACTACCAAATGAATGCATAATAAATAAAAGAGATAAGGAAAGATCGCACCCGAAAATTGATAACGGAGTTCGGTTAATTTTGCCTAATCTCCGAACACCGTCTAAGCGACCCGTTCTTAATAATTTGGGAGAAGAAATTACAAATAATTCTTTTTTCTTTGGTGTTTTATACGGTTTATTTGGATGTATTTTCTTATTCGTGTGTATGTAATGTTTATGTATACACGGGTCTGATTGTGATAATATACCGTGCACGTAAATTCTGTCATAGGAGATTGGGTTTTAAGTGGGACCACTTGTGACCTTCCAGTCTTTTTTTGGGAATTTACTTGGTATGGTAATTCTGTCTAAGGAGATTGTTTTAACGATCTTTCCTGGGAATTACTGAATCGGTTTAATTCACTAGTTGTATTTTGAGTGGGAAATTACCCGATTTTCCCAACAGGGACTGGATTTGTTGTCACAGAAATGGCTACAAACTACAAAATCTTAAAATCATTGTAATATGCAACACGTAGGAATGTGCCCAGAACATGTTTGGTGCACCAACCTATTTTACTCCTCCTGTTATTTTTATTATTGGAATATGGTGTACCAAACAGTTATGAATTCATTTTTGAAACAAAATAATAATAATAAAAATAAATATTCTTATTGTGTGACCATTTATTAAACTGTATTATCGTATGTATGTATGTATGCGTGATGCCTTTGTAATCCAGTAACCTGTTTCAGTCCATTTCTCTGATTTCCAATTTGCAATGAGATGTCATCCTAATTCTAAGAAAGACGGTCTCTTGATGATGGTGTCTTGTCTAATCAGATGCATCAGTTTTAAAAACTAGAAAGTGTTAGATCTAACACCATTTGGATTGCTATTTTTAAGAGTTTTTGTAGGAAAACATACTGTAACGATTTGACGTACACGAGATAAAAAAGTAATTGAAAAATTTGATCATGAAAACCGTAAAAATTTTTCTTTAGAAAACTCATTCCGAACAAAATATTTGCATCAGATGCATCACACAGGTTGATCATAAAATTATTAATCTCCCTAACCTATACATTCACTTCTTTTGTAAGCAACTTATATATGCCCTTTTACCTAACAAGTTTCCTCAGTTGCACATGAATGTTCTACTCGAAATCAACAATCAACGTGCAAATAGGGCTTTCTCCAAGAATTGAGATTCAACCAACGAAGCTGCTAGCTAGCAAGATAACAACTGAAGCAAGCATGAGTTCTACCTGACGATTGAGAATATTAATAAATAGGGCAATGATCAGAGGAGTATAATCATGAATGTGTAGAAGGTTGTGGGATAAGAATAGGTTCAACATGCAAAATTGAAGTCCAATGGATGGTCAAACTCTATACAGGTTTGGATATGTATGTACAGAAACTCTATAAATTTTGTATCTCATGAAGCCACAAATTTCTTCTCATCATAATTGCAGCCAACTTCCCCACTTCTGCACTTCACCCAACCCATAGAGGAAGCTCAAAGGAATGATGCAAACGCAGCTTTTGATACCAACTTAGATATTAAACTGAAATTGGTGCGGAAAGAACCTTTTCGAACTCAATATAAAACATACTAAACTATTAAAAGTAGTCCTAACACTTGCTAGAATATCCTTATTCCACACTTCCTGCAACTACATAAATTGATGAACTTAGTTAAAAGTCCACCATCTAATTAAACAATTCAAGTTGTTCTTGTTCGTTTGTCTCTAATTATTTGATCCTGTTACAATTTTGACTAGAAAGATGCTTCCCCGCCCCCCAAAAAAACACAACTTATTTTGCAATTTGCATGCCCATCACGTATTTAAATGTTCATAGGCCATGATTTTGGTGGCAAACTTACAAAGGCTAGCTTTGTTTATCTTGCAGCCGTCAGAAAAAATGGACTATTTGAACACCGGAAAAAAAAAGAGTGATTATATTGCAACTAATGGCCGAATTCTTGGACTCTTCACTTTTGAATGACCAAATCCCTGTTCATCAACATGCCCTCGAATCCAGTTGAGTCCTCAAAAGTCAATACAGAACTATAAAACTAAATGAAGGTATGGCGAAGAAATATAGACCAGCTGAGTACTAATCTGCACAAAGATAATTCCATCTGTTTCACTTCCTTAAATCCTTCAAGTTAAGAGCATTTCCAAAACTAACTTCAATCTAATTAGGTTGGGTAAACAACAAAAAAGCCCCCTGTGATATAGCTATCTTACAGAAAATCCCCTATAGTTTCAAATCATACGTGTTGATACCTCATGATTTGAAGTAATTTGAACATTGACGGAAATCGTTAAAACAAACGGTTTTGAGTAAATGATAGAAATGCCTTGATAATATAAGCCAAAAATAGTCTAAAACAAACGGTTTTTGATTCATTAGTTTCATTCACTAATAATATAAGCAAAAAGCGTCGATTTCTACAAGTTTGGAGCAAATTTGAGGAAGAATCATGGTTGTTTTATTAAGGTATGAGGGGCAAAATAGGTATTTCAGGTCAAAATTTGCCTTAAAAAACTATTTTTTGGAAGAACCACGCGCATTTCTGGCGCGTTTACATCACACGGGTTAAATTTAACAATTTCCGTTGATTTTTCACTTTACTTCAAATCATGAGGTACCAATGTGTATGATTTAAAATCATAGGGGGCTTTTCTGTAAGATAACTATACCACTTTTTTGTTGTTTATCCAATTAGGTTAATGCAACTCTGTGAAGGATGCTAGGGCCTTTACCAATGTAATAGTTGTGTCTCTCACTTGTACCAAACAGGTTGCAGGCTGGTTTCTGGCTGTAAATTGCCTACTGCCTGTGCAGGATTAAAGAACATTTTCTGGTGGACTGTCCAACTATACATATGGTACAATAGTCAATAGTATTAGTAGGTGCACTTGAACTTCAAATGACTCTCTCTGCTGTTAATTTGTAGAACTAGCACCACCACTACTACTACAGTACTACTTCTTGCAGTCGATTAGGCCCATCCCATTAGGGGAGTTATGTGCATGAGAAAAAGTTTGAACTTGGAAAACTTCTTTGCAAATTTGGCATTTGGGATTCTCACAACTCCTGGAGAAATTTTCTCAGTTTTTGATGATAAGGCCTTAATCAGTGATTCATCAATTGTAACAGTAGTAACAAATCAATTGTTTTCATTTAGTCTCAACAGCCGTACTACAAACCACATATGTTAGTTTCTCATTTTCTATCTCGCATTATCGGACGAGCTCAATACACAAATTACATGCAGCTCACCCTTCTATGATCCTTGATGATGTTTCCTTAGCCCCCCACCACTTTGTTGTTGTTGGTTTTACCATA